ATCCCCTGTCATGAATCCTGGTGGATACAGTTGTTTAAACAAGAAAAGAGAGATAATAGAAAGCAAAGATTACAGTTATACTGCAGAATCAGTCAAAGTTAAATTTGTGGAGGTTTTTTTTTTTTAATCCAATATTTCATATATTTCCATAATATACTTATAGGTATATGAGATAGCTAGAAGCATTTCAGCTAGATACAAAATTAAACATTGCAAAGCTGCCTTGAATCCAGGTGGAGCATAAAAGGATGAGTTGTGTCTGAGCTGACACATAATATGTTTCCTGCATATAAATGCTGCTTATCTATCCATCCTATTTCTTCCACTTATCCAAGATACAGCGACAGAGGCAACAGTTCCCAGAGGAAAACCTAGATATCCCTTCGTGAAACTCTATGGGTCATTCTGAAGGATCCCAAGGGTTTTCCTTGTTCAGGAGGATGGATATTTCAACCTCAGCCTTTCATTGTAGAGAAGAAGAGCTCTTCAAGCCCTCCCACCACACCATGTTACTCAGTTCCTCATGATAGTTGGTAGAGAGGACAGTATTAAAGAGAGGGGGAAGACATTTGGTAAAAGTCAACAGGCCAGGACTTGAACCAGTGAGGACCACATGCAGAGGGGCATCATCACCATGCCCCTCCTCATCAAATTTCTAAGCATAAGTCTGGCCACTGTAAGGAGGAGGCTAATTTCTGATGCAAGGGCTGGTTCTTTGGTCATACCTGTTCAACCTAAAGTGAGCAATTGAAAAAGATGGACCAGTAAATTGAGAATGATGGGTATCTGTGTGGCTTTTAAAGACTTTCCAATCTCTGTATGCCTAAAAAACAAAACAAAAGGTGTGTCGACAGAATGACCACAGGGTCCTGTTCATTCCCATTGTGGATTGCAGTGCACCAGGGCTGCCGCTTGTCAAACCTCAGGATAGATCTTTGTTTTTCTACAAGTACTGTAATATGGCTCTATCTGCATCCTTAGGCTATAACCTCCAGCCAGACTGGAGCAGTTTTCAGCTGAAAGTAAACCAGCCACTATAAGAGAAGCTCCTCTAAGCCTGAGGCCATGGTTTTTTATGGGAAATGGAAAGTTCATCCATGTTCATATGTGGTGAGTAAAACTCTATGTTTTCAGACTGCGTAGGCCAAGTCCCTACATTCTCAGGGGAGGGGCATTCTAGCAGACACTAGTCCAAAAGACAAACAGTCTTTATCCTGTGGTCAATTGCACAGGGGATACGACACTGAAAATCTGACCTGCTGGCAAGAGACAACATTCTTCATGCTTATCCAAAGTTAAGTCCTATCTGTAGGAACAGGCTGCCTGCATCTTCTTTTCAGATTTTTGCAGGAATGGCTGGAACCAAAGAGGCACCAGAGACTCATCCTTCTCCTTCCAAAACCGTCACAGAGCCAAGGATCAGCGTAGGAACCACCTAAACTCCAAGTTATTCCCACAAGAGGAAACAGCTACCTGACAAGCTACCAACTGCAACCAAGTTCCCTCATACATGCCTTAACTTTTCTGCCCATTAGATTCCCCTAATTTTTCTCAGAACATAGACAAACAGAGGTACAAGGTCTGACAGGAATAGAAGAAGTTGTTTCCTAATCTAAAATGTTTCATCCTTTATGTTTGATGTATTTTATTCTGTTTTAAGAGCCGAACAAAAAAATGTTAGGCTGAAGTCTACTTAGCAGCAGCAACCACTGTCATTTAAAACAAAACCCGAACATCTCAAAGACTCCCCCAGCCCCCTTTTACCTCTCCCTGGAGGAAAAACACTCCAACCTAGAATGTCATCTTTCATATTTTCTGTAAAATAAACACTTTAACCTTTCATGTTCCTCAAAGTGTTCTTGCAATTGGATCAGGCATCTGCCTAAAACCATGACAGTTTTATCAAACTCTTTGATTTGCATTTTGATTTAATTTGAACACACTACAGTAGTTCAAAATAGTTTGAAAGCTTATTTAATCTTATTGCTCATTCTTCAAGATCAGCTTTGGTTCTAAAAAATAAAATCTCTTCTGAAGGTGGCATCGTTGCATAATTCTATAGGATTTGTTTGTTTGTTTTCTACCTGTTTCTTTTGTGCATATAGTGATTAATATTTCTAGTTGGGTTTAACCAAAAAGTTTAAATGAAATATTCTTAACCTGAAGCTCAATTTAATTTAATCCTTAAATCAGTTATTGTAAATGCATTTAATCTGTGTGCAAAGCATGCTGTTTGATGATGATTGTGTTCAAATGCATTCCTTTATCTGCTGTCCTAACATCACAGCCATTTGGATGCATGTACACAAGATAAAATATTATGGAGCAAAAGTTATTTGACTTAATAGGAAAAAAGAAATTATCAAAGTGTACAACAGGATAAACTGCCTCCTCTGAATTTTGAGTCAGTCTCTCCTTTAAGTAGAAAAATTTTTTGTGTCTTTTTCAGGAGTAATGATTAAAACTGAGTTGGAAAGATGGTCTGTCATAGAAGATGATGGCAAGAAGTCATTATTTAAAGCTAAACCCAAAAGTGAGATGTAAAAAAAAACTGTAAGTAGTTATAAAAAAAGGTTAATTACAATTTCCCATGAAGGTTTAATTACAATTATAAGGGTATAAAATCCTTTGAGATACCAATTTTTGTTAAAATGCAAATAAAAAAAGGAACATTATAATTTCAAAAATGATATCTCTACCTTATTAGTATTATTTTTTAAAGATCTCCTTTGTTACTTCCAACCAAAAATGTTTCTAACCAATCATTTGAATTACTTGGGGACAAGCTATATTTTCGTATTTTTGTAATTTACCATTTCAAAAACATTAGAGTACAAATCAGAGCAGAAAATCTGAGTTAACAAAGTCTTTTTACAACATTATATATTAACAATTATTTTACAGTCTTATTCTGCTAAAACTTTTTTTCTAACTGCCTCATGGTGAGTGTGCAGTTACACCCTAAAAAACTTTTCTCCAGAGTGATCAGCGCTAATCTACAGCTTTGAATGATGCAACTCTACGGGTTTTTAGCTTAAAGGCAGATTTTGAATCCCAGCTGCAGGGATTTGCTTCCATTTAGCCGCAGGAGCATTAGTGGGCTCTCACACCGATGCTCTGACTCATAGTTTGTAGTGACTGTATAAAATTGAAAACGTTTCTGTGGCAATAATTCAGTATCAACACTTTTATGGTTTGATATTTTAGCCATCGCATAAAATACACACATTAACACATTTTTGAATAAGCATCAAACTATACATTTTTATTTTCTTTTAATAAAACATGCTCGACGTGTTGCTTCTTGGTTTTGTATCTAAATCTGTACGTAACTTTAACACACTTCTCCATCTCTCAATATGACAACAGAAATTAGATCATGTCAGGGAAAGGAGGAACATTAATTATTTATAATTAGGAGTGAATGCTGCAAAGCATTTACCTTGAATTACGTATACAACAGGAAATTAAGTGAAAAGAGCTATACTGTACAAATAATGTTTAAGTTCTTACTTAAGCAGATAGAAATAAACATCTATTAAGAAATGTATTTTTCCCTTTCTGTAAAAAAAAAACCAAACAATTGTTGCTCATTTAAACTGGAATAATTTTATCCTTGTAAAAAAGAAAAGTTTGAACACCACTTAATTATAGGTTGTGTAATTATAAATTAATACATTGCTTGCAAATAATCTTATTTTATCTGCATATTTTAGCAATATTTATTCCAGTGAGAGCAACTTCTACTATATAATCACATTTTGCTTGACAGTCACATTAGATGCAGACTTTTCATCATGGACTATTACAGCTTATGTTATCTCTAGTGTTCCTGTTAAAAGTGAAACATTTGACCTTTGAACGATACCATAGTGCTGCAAGGTAAAAAAAAAAAAAAAAAAAATTGGGGAAATGAGAAGAAACCAGTGAAATTAAATAAACCACTTTTTAAAAGTTTTTAAAAAATAATTAATGAAACAAAATTAAATCATTAAAGTTCCTACTTTAATGTACCTGCAACCTGCAGAACACAGTGGACAATTAGTCAACATCACTTATAAGGACTACAAAAAGATTGCTTTGTGACAATCAAATTCTTACCTTAATACTCAGAGTATCTGTTTTGTTAACGTAAATACAGCACTTAAACAAAAACACATTATATGAGGGTACACAGTTCAAAATTGCATCCCTTAGAGTTTTGTTGCCTTTTTCCACTCTTTTTTATCTACCGATATTAAACCACAGATGATTTCTCTTTAAGAACTATAATATATACAGAAAAGGATTTCCTGTTCCTAAGAATCTCACTCTCATTTAACCTGATTAAGTCCTAAACCAGACTCTGAAATAAGGAAGGCCAAGCGGAGACTACATTTAGTATGGCAACTCAAGAAGCAAAATCTTCCACAGAAGCTGCTAGTAATCTTCTACACTGAAATCATTTAGGCTGTTTTGTGCACATCCATTTTTGGTTAGATTCAACTATAAAATGAAACTGGTCCAAACTGCAAGGAACAATTAGGCCTGCAGAAAAGATAAACAGGGCCTAACATTAATCGATCCACGACCATCGCAAGTCAAGAACAAAATAAAAGAGCAATTTACAGCTCCACTGACTATCCTCTTTAGATGCTGTTGAAACATTTACCTTTAGGTCAGGGTTGCAGATCACTAATGGTGAAAATAAAGTGACACAAAGAGAGTTTCTTTCCTCAGGCTGTCCCTCTGATAAAAAAAAATGAACACCTCACATTTCAGATCATTAGCTACTCTGATGGAAACAAATAAGCCTTTTGGACTAATAACCACTCTGTCTTCTTCTAAAATTGATAAATACAAAGTTGGGCTATAAATGCACACTTGTGCAAACCAACACGAGATAAATAACATTATTTGATTGACTAAAGTGAAAAAGTATTTGGTAAAATGTAATGTGATAAAAAAATATAAAACGTGTGTTTGTGCTTTCAGAGGGACTACCTGATTTTGGAACCCACCTGGACAAAGAGAAAGATGGGTTGATGTACCAGCTGCTCCCCAGGTGTGTATAGTCTCGCCCTCTTGGCATCACGTCATCTGAGCCGCTGCTTAGCCTCTCACTGGAGGGAGCTCGCGTGGCGTCCGAGTCCCCCGTCATTGTAAAGATGGAATCAGAAAAACTGGGCCTCTCGTGGTGTGCCAATGGAGCAAAGCTGAGCTGCACGATCTGACGGGTGCTCTGGCACACCGGCCCGTGGATGGCAGGGGTCAGTGTAGGCAGATCAAAGCTAAGGACGGTTTGTGTGCTGGAGGTCAGTAGCTCCTCGCTGTCCAGGCTGTTGTAGGAAGTTCCTTTGGCTCGATGAGACTCCATGATGTTCTCAAAGTGGCTGCTGAAGGTGTCCTCAGTGGCACAGCGGGGCCCAGAGACCAAGATAGGGGACTTGAGGGCCGGGTTGTGGTTGTCGAAAAACGTCTCCATTGGTCTAAACAGGAAAAGATTTTGGATGTTAATGGAACAAAACAGATGGTGCCAGGATAAAAACCTACTTTTGGTGACAGAATCCTGAATATTTAATGCAAAACATGTCTGATTCTGACAGAGCTGGAAAGGAGGTTATGATAGACATGCAGATTCTGATCAAGATCTATGCTTTGTAGCTCAGTTTTCTTTTGTCATAAACTCATCAGCAGCTTTATTAGGTACACCTTTTCTCTGTCATGGTTTTTGTTCTGTTTAAGTTTTCTTTTTGAGTTTTCATTGGTTTCATTTTGTGTCATTCTAGTTGTTTTGGTTGTATTTTAATTCTTCTGTATTTCTTGTTTACCCTCTGTTGCCCTCTTGTGTCAGTCTCCTAGTCCTAACTCCCTATTAAATTCTTCTGTCCACACCTGCTCCAAATCTGCTAATTAGTTCTCCTATTGTTTATTTATCTCATATATACACCTCCCGTTCAGTTACTGTTTGCTGATTGCCGGGGTTGTTTCCTAGCTCCTCATGCGTGTTTCCCTAATGTCTCCTGGATGTTGTTTTTTTTTTTGTATTTTGTTTGTAGATTTTGCTTCTTTTGCCCTTTGGTTTATTAAAACTGCAAGAAATCACCTCAGCTTCAGTCTCTGCATTTGGGTCCTCTTCAAATCCCCACTCAACCTGACATTCACATTTTTGTTAACACAAATAGCCATCCAGCTAATTACATGGCAACAGTTCAATGCATTAAGGCATCTTCTAAGATTTTCATCCAAAGCTTTTTCTTGGGTTTAGAGTGAAAACATCAGGTTAGTCCCAGTGATGTGCTTAAGGTTGGAGGAAAATTGATTTGAAATGACTTGAAAGGCAATAAAAGCTCAAATTTGTTATTTGTTAAAAACAAAACCTGCAGAATACCCTCCCTCAACACATACGTATGTTGAACTATATGAAGCAGATGGGCTACAGCAGAACATACGTCACCCCACTTCTGATTATAGCTAAAATTAACAAACTATTGCAAAAAATCAAACAAGCTAAACTAACAATCTACATTGATGCGTGGAGAAATGTCATCTGGTCTGATGAGTACAGATTTCAGAGGCAACAATCCGAAGGTTTAACTAGAATTGAAAAGTTTTCACAGGTTATATAACGGGGTTGGGTATGTTGCCCGTGCACATTTTGGGCTCCTACCAAATTGGGTGTCACTTAAATGCTGGAGTTTATGACCATCCGTCTTATGCTGTGTATTTTCAGTGGAATGATGCACCATGTCAATGCTCAAATATGTTCCTAATGTTCTCTCTGCTCATCTGGTCTGTTCCTGTTTGCCTTTGACACAATCCTCAAGAGAAATATCAGCAGGGCTGCTGTCATCAGCACCTTAGATTATAGATGATTGAGTTTTACCTTTTTTCAGTGTTTCCTGTTTCTCTCCTAGACATACTGTAGATATAGACTCAGCTTTCACATCCCTTTGAAATGAAAACCATCTTAAAGCTAATCTGCTTCACTGTTTCTTTCCAAGGCAGAGCCACCTCTGAAGCTAGTTTACCTTTACCTTTTCTAGAATGGTAAGTATTTAGGGTCTCTATATTTGTTTTGTGTGTCTGCTGTTATGTGCTTCGGGCACATTATGATTTTTGTCTATTTCTTTTCTTTGTTTTCTTACAGACTTTAGTTGAAGGATCTTTTGTTAATATATTTTGGGAGTTGAATAATTTTTTTGGCCAGTTAATTACGTTAATTTGTGGTGGTGTTGTCCGCCTATAAATAGGCTGGCTTTCGGCATGTTGGGGCGTTCCCTTCCATCCTCGCCTGGACTCCGCTTTTCCACCTGCTTCCACTCGTTCCACCGTGCGCGGTGCGCGCTTGTCTTGTCGCTGCGGCCCGCAGCGGACGTTCCAGCCTGCCATGCGGTATTTTGGTTAGCCGTTGCTTGCTTTTTTTCTTGTGGTTTTGGCCTGGCGGGCCCGGTTGT